CACCTCCTGCCTGACCCAATGGAATGGATAGAGTGTGTAGAACAAGTACAGGTTTATTAAGGAATCTTAATTATCCAATTTGTAATTGGATAATTGTAATTTTTAAATTCTTTGTATTGTCTTATTTATTTCCCTTTCCCTGTTTATTGTGAGCCGCCCGGAGTCCTTCGGGAGTGGGCGGCATACAAAACTAATAAACAACAAACAAACAACAACAAACCACCCCATCTAGGTTTCCCCCCCTTTTTTTAACGTGTGGACACACCAATATTTTGTGTTCATTCAAACAGTATAATAAGTATAAAGGTGACATAACTGAACATACAAAAGACCCATTGGAAATTGATTTTGCAATTATTTATTCAACAAAAATTAACAGATGTGCCATTTTATTCTATGGAAAAAGTAAGGACACCCTTGGTTCTAATATCTGACATTTGGTCCTTTGGGGTGTTTCTTATAACTGTAACCAGTCTCTGACGTTAACTGGAAGGATTTTTTTTTAAGTTCTTCATGATTTTTTTTAGCTATGCTAAAGGTTTCTTGCATGCACAGCCTGTTTCAAATTAATCTACAACATCTTGATTGGATTTAGATCTAGGCTTTGACTTGGCCAGTCCGGAAACCTCTATTTCTTTTTTTTTTCACCCATTACTTGTGGATTCACTGGAATGTTTAGGGTTATTGTCATGTTGCAAGGTCCACTTTTGGTTGAATGTCAATCTTCTGATAGATGGTCTCACTTTATCCTCAAGCACCCTCTGGTACCCTGAAGAATTCATAGTGGATTCTTTCCTAAAACCATAACATTTCCACCACCATAATTTGCAGTTGGCCTCAGGTTTTTCTGGTAAAATGTTATTTTTGGTTTTTGCCAAACATGGTTCCTGGTACCCTAGTCAAGTAACCTTGTTTTTGGCTTACCTGTCCAGAAGTCTTAATCTTTGCCTAGCTGGTCATGAACAAATTTTATTCTTGTCCTGATATCCTTTCTTTATTACAAAAGTTTCCTACTGGCACATGGAGATCTAATTTAGTGGCTTCTTTCTAATAGTAGACTTATGTACTTTGATATCAATAGTGGTATAAGCTACCTGTAGGTTGTGTAACAACTTTCTGGGGTTCTTAGAGACATTTTTCAACATATTGGCTTGAACCTATTGATACAACTTGACCTGGACAAGTTGGCAGTAGTTTGACATCTTCTCCACTTGTAGATGATCTTCCAGGTTAGTTTAGTGAAATGATTGATGTTCAATGTTTGGCAATTTTTTAAAAATCCCTTCCCAGAATCATTGACATCTACTGTATATCCTAATTTCTGAGAGCCTCAGAGAGTTTCTTTCAATCTAGGTATGGTATTCTACATGTGTAACAACAAAGAGCAAATTAAACCCAACATCTGAGATTTAAATAAGACAGGCACCTTCCAGACTTTATCTAACAATATTCTAATCATTTGCACCTAGTCTTCTGTACCTGATTTTAATTTTAGGTATTTTAGGTAGTAATAAATGCTGGGTTGTATTTCATTTTTGTACATGTGAAACTCGCATTTGTGTTTATTTAAATCACACAATGTACTAAAACATGTAAATGATGCATAATAATTCTTATACTACATACTGTTATCAATATTGTTGAGATAAGCAAATATGCTGAAATATGCTGAAAAAGGCAAAACATTCAAAAGGTTGTGCTCACCTTTTCACATGACTCTAGTGGCATGATAAAATCTTAACACCATGATTTTTTTACCACTGGGACTCTTGGTGTGGTTATGATCTTTTCCTTACTGGCAACCTGGTCGGAAGAGGATGTTCTGAATTTGTTGTTGGCAACATTTGTCTTTCCTCCTGCTGTCTCATGTTTTCTAGAAAAGGCAGGATTTCTGCTACAAAAAGAAATGATGGCAATTCCATTCATGCATGGCAAACATGTATATTTCTTTAATCTTAATATAGTTAATTAAAATATTCACAGGCATAGCTTTAGAATGGTTACATTACATGATGATTCAGTCTGTAAAACTGTGATATATCAAATGTGATAAGTTTTCATATCATTTTTGACACAATGCTTTACACATGACGAATCTTCAATGGGAGAATTTTAGAGAGAGTTCCCAAACAAATGAGAATGAATCTGATTATTCAGTTCCACATTTATTGTTACACAATTATATATAAGTTTGCATTGAATGAATTCTGGTATTGAATTCCAAAAAAGGTCAAGAAAAAAAAATGATGAAAACTATTTTTTTTTTGCAAATATATATTTTTATTCATTTTCACATTCAATTTTACAGTCACTTATATACTGGATATTTGCTATAAGAAAAGAAATAAAATAAAATAAAAAAGAAAACACAACTCATCATCATTCAGCATAAAACAAACCCCCACCTGACACTTCCATCCTCCATACACCCCATCTTCCCCCTCCAACTTTCCTTTCCTCCCTCTAACACTCCCCTTTCCTACATTCCCCTCCCCTCAAACCTTCCTTTCTCCCCTTCCTCCTAGCATCCCCCTTACGCCCTCCTTACATTCCCCTCTCACTCCCTCCTTGCTCCTCCCTCTTCTTTCTTTCTACCTCTCCCCTTGGTGTATTCCTTTATTCAACTCTTTTTTATTAATATTGAGCTATAAAAATAGAAAATAGGAAACAAAATATAATAAGAAAAAAAACCCAAGGAAAAAAAATATAAAGAAAGAAAAAAAGAGAAGAGACAACCATATACAAGTGCATTCTTCTTCTTATTGAAACTATATTACCACCCACCCACCCGCCCCCTATAAG